GATATGTGGAAACGGATCCCTCTCTGCATAAATACCACTTGGATTTCAATTACCTCCTGAACTTGTTGCGCGAGAGTGCGATAAATCAAATAGATGGAGATTAGATTCATTGACAGTTAGCGTGCGGCTCATTTCCTGAAGTTCATGACGGGAAAGTTTGTCAAATAGCTCCCGATAACATCCACTCTAATTTTCGAACTTCATCCATTTAAGCCAAATAACCTCCGACGAGAGGCAGGACTTTAATGTGTAATCGACTAATCTCATTTGATACACCCCACTTAATTCACCGAGGCTTTAATAACGAGGCGCCTCTGATGCCAGTTGTTTATCACAAGAGCGTTTTATTGAGACTCTTCTAACTTTTCATAGATCTGCACCCCCCGACCCCCTCTCCCCCCCCCTGTCAGAAGGCAGTGTTTGATGTGTCGCTGTCTGACTGACAGAAGCAGGTGGCACAATGTGGCACAGTGTGGTTTTGATCCCGCTGTGTCCGGCACCAGCGTGGTCAAAGAGACAGCCATCAAATGGCATCTAGTTACACATGGTGACACATGAGCATCTAAGCCCGAGGTGATTTGTTTTTTTATGTTATTTTATATTTTTCTTTGTGTCTCTGGGTCACTGTAATGAGGCTGAGACATTATCTCGAGACGGCTGCAGTAACCCCATAGCGCTGCATGAAGGGAGATGGTGCTAGGAAGCAAAATGCCAGGGCTGTTATTATCACGCCCTGTTTCTGTCAAAGCAGTCTGACCTAAAGTGTGTCTGTACAGCTGCGACAACTGTGCCAGACACACACCACCATATTAACTCCTAGACACAATATTCAGGACATGTACTCTGCTAGACTTTGAGGTAATGCCTGTGATTGTGGCCTGTTCTTCCCTGTGATGAACAGAACTCCTGTGATTTGAGAGATGAGTGTTTTCCCCCGGTGTCATCGCGCACACCCGTAGTGCTCTTTCATTTGGACACGCTGTGGCCTTCACAGTCCAACGGCCAAAGCTTCAGATATGCCAGGAATTTCACTCAAGTGTGTGGCAAGGATCATTAGACACCAGAGCACAGAAATGTAATAAATACTCTCATTTATAAAACACAGGGTTGTCTACTGTCAGTATGGTGAAGCCATATGTCATCTTAGTTTTCATTTAGACCTAAAATTCTCCTCCCTGTTTGTTAAATATCTTTAAGAGGTGGCTTTCTGTTCACTCTGCTGGAGAAAAGTCTTTCTATTATGACCCTGTCGACGTGACAAAAACATCCACAAATCCACAACAATTTATTGTACCTTCAGCTCTCTGCAGCACTGTCTGATCCTCAAATCCCACCACAGTTAATCCTCACCTCACATACGTTGCTGATGGCTCTGGATAGAAATTGGCTATCAGTAGAGAGCCTCTGTGAGTTCTTTCTGAACCTTGACCTGACGGAGACAGCTGCCTGTGTGTCCGTGTGTGTAGCTGCTGTCCGCATGTATGAAGTGTGTCATTCTCATTAGCGCAGTCCTACTGAATTTCCAGCCCGTAATTTACCACACTGCTGCAGTGCGAGTAAGCAAAAGTAACAGTGTTGAGGCGCCGGGTTTTGGCCCTGGCACAAGTTAATGACCTCAGTGGCACCTCCACAATAATTTTCCAGTGAGCTGGTGACCTCTCTCAGCACTGCCTTCAAGGGGCCTGCAAAAGCCATGTTATTGCTGACTGACACCTGGCCTGATAACATACCAAAATAGAGTGTGTTTGCCATGGTCCTCTGTATGTTTTAGGATCTAGGCGACATAAATTTCTTTTTCATAACTTGTTCCTAAGTAATAGTGGCCTGTTAGGGTTTTAGGACAACAGTGAACTTTCCAAACAGCTAATAGAGCCCAAGGCTGGCTTACCTATTGAGACCAGTTTGATATGCTCTCTGTCCAGGAACTCTAGTGCCACAGAAACATTTTCCAGTTTCATCTGACGGAAGTTGGGTCTGTTGTGGTGCTTTCTGTACATTTTCTTCTGGCTCAAAACTTCCAAGAGCGAAATGAGCTTCAGCCCATCACTAAAATCCTTCTGCAAGTCGGTGACGGTCTTGTTAACGCACTTGAGGTGCTCGTTGCACCACCTGGTGAAGGTGTTCTGCTGGATCTTCTTCCACGGCGCGTCCTCGGCCAAGTCCTTCTCCGTGGCGGGCATCTCGTCCTCCTCCTCTTCCCCGAAATCAGTGGCCTGGTAGTACTGCGGGGGCAGCTGGTCGTCGCCGTAGTTGGTGCTCATCATGATGGCTTTTTCCGCGTCCACTTTTATACCTCGGTGACACTTGTGTGTTGAATTGTGCGCAAAAAAAGAAAAAAACTTTAGCGGCTCGGTGGCAAGCGCGCTCTCGCGGAGGAAAGTTCAAACTCGGATGAGTTACACACAAAAAAAAGCAGCTTAGAGATTTTTCGGATGTACGTGCGAAGAAGCCTCTGGTGTCAGTGATGGATTAAATGATCCGAATCACAACGTGCAAGACAGCTGGTCGTCTGTTTTGTTTTTTAATTGGCACCCTCCTGATAAGTCGTCCCTTTTAATATGGCCCACGGGGGGAAAGAATGTCGCTTTTTCAAGTTTCGTGGCAGGTGAGCTGGAACAGCACCGTTAAGAGTTCCCTCTGTTTTAACTTGAAAGTCGGGTGAGGAGAGAGATGGGTTTATAAAGGACCCCCCGGGCCACGTCACCCAGCGTCTGTGATCATAGTCTATTTGCTAATCCACGCGGATAACGGGAGTCGGTTTACGGGGAAGATGGGCCAGTGATTGGTCAGACATTAGGCAGCGCAACAGTTGTGGCATGCTGCTTATTTTTAGGCGCTCCTATTTGGGCTGTTGAGGGGGGGGTTGCTGGGGCTTGCCGATTGTTGTGAATGTGTTATGCAGCTCGGGGTCCAAGTGGCTGAACCACTGAACTAAGAAAAGAAAATGAAACGTGCCCTGAGTGTCTCAATGGCTCTTTTTTTTTCTAACGATACAGAAAAGTAGGACTTTACATCCTGAAAGTCCCTCATTGTGGCCTGGGACAAAACATCTTAAAGGATGAGGTCACAGAGGTGAAGATGAAGTCGCTGCATTACGTGGGGTTGACTGCTATCTGCCACCACTGAGTGAAATACATCTGTGTGCAGGCAAGCAAAGCTCAGAAAAGCTCGTGAGATGATGGTTTTGAGTTATTGTCTCTCTCAGCTTTCAAATTTCAAATTTTAAAAGCCAACCCCTTTGTGGGTCAAGGTTATCCAGCTACATGAGTAGAGTTTCATCTCCAGCTCTGATCAGTGACAGCACGATATCAGCACCTGATGAACAGTGTGTTTGTGAGAGAGAGAGTGGGAGTGTGTGTGTGGACAGCATCAGCTCACTGAAAAATTGATTATCTGTATTCTAAATGAGTAGGTCAGAATAAACACCAGGCTTGCAGCGGCTTCAAGGATTGTGGTGGTGCTGTGACTCAGCACTGACATGGCAGTGACACCAGATGCCAGCACCAGCCTTGATGAAGTAGTGGGAGGTAAGTATAACTGTGACACATGCAGATGGCATTTACAAGATACTCAGTATGGACACAGCACGGGGTGCCCATGGTGATCTCCCACCTGCTAGTAAGATACCTTTTAACACTGTTGTTCCACTCAACAACGACGTGTTCCAGCGCTTCATATAAATGACATATGTTGTGAAGTTACTGTAAATTTGACATTTTCCTGCAGCTGAAAGAGTCAGAGCCTGTCAGGACCTCTCAGGGCTGACCACGAAGCACACCAAAGTGAGTTTGTTTCTTTCTGAACAGAGGATTTCTCTCCTTTATGATGGAAGCAAGGTGTCCCTGAGACACTGGAGTGTTACTTTACTCTGCTAAATCTATGGTGGACCATAGCACTGCAGGAGAAATGCACATTCTTTTAAGCTTCATCCAGAATATTGTCCAGAAAAGTTGTGTCAGTGGGTTTTACACAGGCACAGTGAACTGATACTTCAACTACAATCTTTAAAAAAAAAAAAAATTATATATATTCGCACAAATTACAACATCACTGAATATTTACACAGAATCAAATCATAATATAATAATTTTTTAAAATACAATTAAATAATGAATCAGAATTTACAGAAAAAACAGAGCACTATTCTACATTTTAATCACTAAAAACATTGCAAATATTCAAATTCTACAATGGTATTTCTTTAATTTGTTGGTATAAAGTGTCTTATTTTTGTTCAACTCCAGCTCCCATCTTTATAAGGAACTATAAAGAATGGTGAATAACTAAACTCAAGCAAGAACCGTAACACGGAGCAAGATCTGTTGACCTGGACTCTGTTGAGTTGGCATTATATCTCCACCAGATTGCCCATGGCTGCTATCACAGTCAGCGGTCTACCTTTTTTAATTAGCTTTTCCCTGTTAGTCTGTCAGGTGAATATATTAAATATTTAATAAGGGATTTGGGGTGAATTTGCAGGACAGATAGGCCTGAGGCCAAAGGCCAGCTGATTAAATTTTGCTGGATCTGACACTTCTTTAGCCCTAACTCTGAGCCAGAGCAAAATAGAAACCTGGTTCACAATCCGAAGTGAAATATTTTGAAACTTGGTAAAGTAATTTCATGTGAACCAAAAGTGAAAGACAGCCGTGCAGTGAAGGGTTTTACCGGCACTAGTTTTCTATAGAGCTGCACATGTAGGCTACTTTTAGATAATTGGATGCACTCAAACTCAGTAAACCATGAGCTGTGGCAGTGGAGTCATGAGTGTAACCTCTGTGCCATCTGTAAGGAAGCCATGTCTGTCAGCTTATGTCACGCCGTTGGAAGGAAGTTTATTAATATCCATACAACCCATGTAATGTGACGCCACCAGGGAGACTGCTCTTACTCAGGCTGGACTTATGTTTTCATGAATGGGATTCCGTAAGACCTTTATACCTTGTGACTGATGCCGAGTGAGGCCACCACCCAGGAAAAAATAAAGCTCTCAGACATCATGTGGGTCGGGTATATTTATTTTCTCATGTCGTGTACAGTGCAAAATAGACCTCCGTGTAACAAAATAGCCACAACTATATTGAAAACAACAATGCTATCCAAATGTAAAGCAGTAAGCCGAGAAACACTGCAGTTACAGAAGCTCGTGAAACTATGATAAAAGTCAGTATTCATGAAGGAAACTCAGAGTGAGTGACACATGAATCAAATCAGACAGTATTCTATACTAATGCAAGTAATGGGAATTCCATTTCTATTGTACGATTGATCCAACAGACACTGACAACATTTGCAGTCCAGCGGCACATTTTCTGTTTTCTTGTGCATATGCAGAAATAAAACTTGTCAGGCATTGCTAATGAAGGTTGAGGCTTCAGAAAAAACTTCCAATACGTTTCAGAAACTCAACAGGTTTTAAGAAACAGGAGTTGCACTTTCTGGCACCTACGGTCAACTGCAATCTAAACGCATGCAACGGCTACACTACCTCTAGACACGGAGGTACTGAAAATGGTAAGCGATGCTATCAATCCTCCTGAATGACATCACCATAAATAATGAACATTAAAATGACATATATTTCGGCTATCAAATATACGATGCTCTTTCAAAATAGAGTAGACTTTCTACAAAGCTAGTACAAATGGATTTAAGAAATATCTCTCCCATAGTACTATATGTCACATCTATATACATGAAATACAAAGAATCCACATAAACAACATAAATTATATATTTGTGCTTCTATGTTTTTCTAGCATGCCGTTTTCAGTTCTAAAAGATTTTTCACCAAGAAAATAACATATATCACAAATGTAAACAGAGTCCTGCCATAGATACATAAGTTTTTCCTAACTGATGCTTAGCCTAACTCGTTCTGACACTTTCTTATTTACATATTTTGGACCCATAACTGCGTCTGTAATGCCTTCGGAAATAGCTGTGCTCGCTCATTTCACTGCATCAGTGTTATAATCTGTCAATATCTGGATATCAACTGGTAGTAATCAGACCTGCAGGGGTTTTTCCCCCCATAAAGCATGTAGTAGGTAAAGCTGAAGGTCGACATTCTCACACTGTGTACCTTGAACAATCTGCAGTCGCCTAAAAAAATCACTAACAAAACACTCAAAAGCCAGTTTAAAGCCTTACAGAGGAAAACGAACATGAATTCCTTCACAATGACATTAGCATTAGCTTAAAGTATACGAAACAATGACTACATAGACCCTCCCCACCAGGATTTGCTCCTAACGCTGCTTTATTATGTTGGTACATAACAAGAAATCATATTGTTGGGGTATTTCAAAGTGAAGTGGCTCTGCATTAACCTCCTGGTGTGTTGGTTCATTGATAAATTAAGGGGAATGTGAAGAGGGGCTGACCACAATCAGCCTTCTCATGCTTGCAGACTTTGTAATGAAGGCTGTCTAATATCTAACTTAAGGGCAAAATAACACAATAATAGATATGATAGACTGCTAATTCATGAAGACTTGTTAACTTTTGTTCATGCATATATTGCATTGTTTTTTTGGCGGGTGGGTGGGGGGTCAGTAACTGATTGTTAACAATTCTTTCTGCTATGTACACTTTTGGGGGTTTCAGCGCATTACTCCAAATCAAATGCTTGTCCTTATGATCAGAGACACCTATTAACAACAGTTTAAATAGTAAATAAATAAATAATGGTTAAATAAACTAAAACCAATTTAGTACATCCTACTGAAAAACATAATTTGTCACATTGTTAAAAGAGAAAAAAAAAATCATATTCACTGACACAGAAGAGGAATGACACAGCACTAGCATACATTTAAAGGACAGTCCTTGTGTGCACTGTCTGCAGGTCAGCTCATTGTCGTCTTCAGCCTTGAGTGATGCCGGGCGCATCTTTCTCAGCCTGTGCGTGCATGTAGTACCGTCTCGTTAGAGATAAAGGTTTCCCGTAGGTGTTTCTACTACAAAGTTGTCACTTCTATCACATTTAGATCATTCCAGGTGACTCGATATAGACATGGCAGGAGACGTGAGGGCTGGTCTGAAGCAGACGTCCGTCCCGTGCGGTTGTTACCCATCCAGTCAGAATCGGACGAGAGCTCTCAATAAGCTAGTCATCACTAGAAGCACAGCTGTGGCTGCAGTGATAGTCACAATGGAGCTCCAACCTACCTCACTCCCCTGAGGGAAGACACGAAAAGAAGAGTGTCAGGAGTCAGCAGAGGTTAACTGTCACCAATAGATACAAACTAGATGTCTTATAGAAAGAATAGTTCCACGTTTAGGGAAATGGGCACAATTGCTTCTCTCAGAGATTGAGATGAAAAAAAAAAGGAGATTGAGATGAGAAGATTGTTACTGATTTAATGTCAGTGTAAACAAATCAGGGGGTAGTTGGTTAGGGAAACACCAACTCACACCTCCAAAGCTCACTATTTACAAACCACATTTTAAAATAAATACTAATTTAAGCTAAATATCATTTGGCTGTAGTTTCACATTTGACACAAATAAATGGTAACAATCTTCTCATTTAAATCTTGGCAAGAAAGCGGTAAATCATATTTCCCAATAAAATGGTTGAGCTTTTTCTTTACATTATTCATTCAGTGAAGCTCAAAGATTTCTTGTTTTTCAGTTTTGCCAAACTGCCCACCCGTCCCATGTTGACCTTTCATAAATGGTCCACAGTGGTTCATATTATCTGTTTTTCAGTGTGTTTCAGATTTTAAAGGCCGTATTTGGAATTTCTTCAGTTTATATTCTCCCATAACAACTAAACACAAAGATTCCTGACAAATAAAGGATTAGTTCACCAAAATAACAGAAAAACATATTTACTTCTGACTGTATGGACTAAAAGCACTAGGCTATCAACACTTTACATCTACAGGAGCTGCTCGGCCATGGAAACCCATCCCATGAAGCTCCTGGTGCAGTTTATGTGCTGACATTAATGCCAGAGGAGGTTTGGAGCTCTGCAGTTATTGAGTCAGCAGAGTGTTGTTGACCCTGCTCTGTAACTTTACATATCTAACAGTAGACGCTCTTTAGATTGGCCCATTTTTTCACAAATGTTTGTAAAGCCAGACTGCATTGCTCGATTAGCTTTGCAATGCAACTGAAAACACCTGATTCCCAACATAACGAGGTGTAGACATGCTTGTATTCTTTAAATTTCATCTTTGATACCTCCAAAGATCATTCGTCAGCTGTGTGGTTTATTAGCCATGCACTATCATTCCGTGGACTGTTGTTATATTACACAATTTATGAATAAAGGAGAGTAGTTTTAAGTAGTTTTTCGAGCCCTGCCATCTTTAGTACAGTGGCTAAGACAGACAGCGCCATTTCACCTAATCACTTTTTATGTAGTACTCCTTGCAAGTTCGTTTTAATTTCAAGATCCCAAATATCCAAATATATATATTTACACATGACCATTTAACATTTGTACATGTTTATTTTTATCACCTCATTTTCATTATGTCTTTTTCCTCCTCCACCATTGCACTTTCTCCTCCCTTATTTCCACATCTTGCTCTTCCTCTTCCTTCTCTCAGCTGAAGTCAGGACTCTAACACATAAAAACCTGCTTATTTATTATTGACCCAATTACGTATTGTCAGCAAATTAGACGTGCAACCCTCCCATCTCCAGACAGCTCACAGCGAGCCAGCTAAACACTTTGAAACTCCAGGATTTCAAAGCTGACCTTGAAATAAATTTCATGAAACTATAATGAGTAAGATATCATATGAAAGGGCATGGAGAGAGCTGTACAACCTGTTTCATTTTTTCAATGACGGCTTAATGTTTTGCAAATGACACGCCGCAAGAATATATCTTAAAAAAAGTTTTTACAGATTAAAAGCCAAAGATTTCAGCCAGTTCTGCTCCAATCATCTGGGTAAAGATAATAAAATGCACAATTTTAATATGTAATGCTTCCTTGTCTGAGGTCAAACATCAGAGTTGTTGTTATAAAAGCAGGCTGATGTCAGCATGTTGTAATAAGACATCATAAAACCTTAAAGTTTTAGTATAGCCCTTGCATTCTGGGGGAGGGGGGATTACGCTCTCTGAGTGCTCTTGTTTTTCTTTCGTTTAGCATATTATTGAAATTTTTTTCTGTGTAATTTAGGTGAACTAATCCATAGCGTATTTTGCGAGAACCATAAGTAGCATTACGCTTCAGACAGATATAAGCTCCTCCCATACCTTGCTCTCTGGGACGCCAGCTCCGACAACCAGCACCAGACCACAGCCACAATTACAATCATTCCTATGAAGGGGATGGAGAGAACAGCGTGCTCAGACGGATGGATGAATCTCTGAGGAGGGAACAGAAACAAACACAAGGACCATGGCAATGAAGGGGATGAATGAATGATGGAGCGACGTAGCCAAATAATAAAACAAACAGATAAGGATGTGTGACAACGGCACAAATGGACCACCACTACACTACACAAATCACTCAATTCTAAGTGTGAAATGGCCTGTGGCTGTGATATACGGGGGGAAGGACTGTGATGGAGTGATTTAATATTTCCTATTAAACAAACAATGCATAACTTTACGGTGACATAAACATCAACTCAGTGTGAGTATGCGTGAGCAGTCCTGTGTGGCATTTCCTGGCTGCGTGTGATATCATGCTAGCAAAAGAAAAGAAAAAGAAGGAAAGGCACGCAGGATGGACTTAGCATATGAAGGTGTATTAGTCTCTCTATCCTCATTTTGAAGTTAAATTGTTCGTAAGTCGTAAGAAATTTGTCGTCAAACAGGCTGAGAGGTCATGGACATTCAGAGAACAAGGACAGCATCAGAGACAGGCACGGGTAGACAGTTTGACACGATGTGGAGACATCTCATCATGGCTGTTGCAGACAAAACACAGTTCTGTTTTCACTGGATGATTTCAACCATCGCAAGCATATGATCCAAATTCTGAGGTTTTGTTTCGATTTTTCACTGAGTTTTTATGCGCTCTTTTTAAAACTTGATAATACTCGACTTTCAGAGTAGCGACTGTCTTTGCATGGCAATGCAGGTGAAAGCACAGACTGTTCTACCGTCAGTGCATTCTAATTCCTCGGGAGCTTTGCAATGGAAATCACAACCTATGCTTTCATTCAGTGGCACCTGGAAGGCTGAGAGGTCATGAAAAATACATTGAACTGAGAAGTTATAACTCATAGTTCAATGTACAAACCATGCTGGATGCTTTCAAGTACTTATTATGTAAGAATAGTCGCGCTTTAAATGAATATGGCATGAATTGTGTTCACTTTCATTTCATTTCATTCCATTTAGATTTTTCATATGTAACTTTATTAGAAGGAAGAGAAACCAGTCTGGTATTAAATAAAAAGTCTAAACAAGAAAAAAAAAGCAGCTTAATTACATTTACTGTTTTAAAAAGATCTCAAGTCTGCTTATATGCTTCAGTGGTATAAAGTGCATTAGCTCCAAGGCGCCTGAATGCGTTTTATTAGAGATTTTGTGTTTTTGTCAAACAACAGTATTTAAGCATTGCTCTAACTGAGCAGTCAGGACACAGACACAGTGGGGGGAACGTTCCCCAGCCCAAAGCACACAGTAAATACTGATATGGGCTGACAGGCCAGGTCAGCTCATATCAACACATGTATCGCTGCAGTATGGGACACATAAAAAAGTGGGCTCAACAGACACAGGATACAGTGAGGAGCAATGTGAGGTTTGTTATGTGTTAGTAGATAGTGTGACTGCAAACAACAACAACAAAAACAACTTTACATTTTCTTCATTGTGTAACTGGAATATTGCTTTTAGAATAAATTCATATCATTTAAAAACAAGTTCAGAAAGCGATGATAAATATCTACTAAATATATCATTAGTAATCGCAGAAAGCTGTGCAGCTTTTCAATCAGTTGCTCTGCTGATGCCGGCGCTATACTTTTATTATAGTTTGTCCCATGATGGGCTTGAGCTCTGCGGTTCCTCACCTGCGTCCCCCCCGACAGCTTCTCCAGCTCTGCCTTGCAGCGCTGCAGCTCCTCCTCCAGCTCTGCCCTCTCCCTCTGACTGCTGTCATACAGTACCTGCAACTCCTGCAGCTCCATCTTCAGACCCTCACACTGGAGGACACAGAGGCCAAAAGAATCAGAAGAATAACGTGTACCAAATCTGTGCCACTTTCTAGCAAAGCAGGGCACTGTACCTCTCTCTGAACTTGTGAGGCCTTCTCCTCAGCCTGTTTCAGCTGGTCTCTCAGCGAGAAGATCTCCCCGATCCCTCCGGTCCAGCTCGTCGGCGTCATCGGCTTCCCATCGAATGAGATGTTCTTCTGGATGGAGGCGTCCACCAGACGACAGTTCTCAGACTGGGCCATGGTCATGTAGCTCTCTGTCATGACCTCATCTGAGCCGGTCTCCATCTCCTTTCCCTCTGTGCCCTCCCCCGCGTCTTCCTCTTTCAGCGACAGGTAGACGCTAGAGCTGCGAGATCAAAAAGCGGCTTCAAATTAACCGGCTTCTACCATTTTTTTTATTTCTTATTGTAAAAACGGGAGGATGGGAGGATGTGTTAACCCTTAGAAGAAATGTTGATATCAAATGGTGACACTGTTTTGTCAACCTGCTTGTCAGCTACACATACATTTAAACCTGAAGTTAAAATATTTACACCCTATAGCACAGTAACAACTATTCTTTTCAATTTCCCAGTAAATGGCCAGACAATATTGGCAAATGCTCATCATATAGAACAACCTTACAATTCAAAGGCATTCTTAATTCTTAATTGCTTATGTGTAATCCCTCATATCATGCTACAACTTTACTGAAGTGCTTAAACAGGTGGTCGGTGCTGTGATGGGAGCTAGTGATACCAGAGGGTATCCCCTCCAGCTGATCCAGTGAGCACAGCTGACGAGCGAGCAGTCGTTGACCTCTCACCATGTCCTCTGTCTTTGCAGCAGCTGCAGCCTCTCGGAGAGCCGTCTGTTGTCCTCCTTCAGGGTCTGACACTCCTCCCTCAGCATACGGCACTCCTCCTTTAGCAGGTCAACGTCACCTGTCGGAGCAAGAAGGGCACATATGAGGATGTTTAAAACGACATTGTATACTCCTACACATCTTTATAGTACAGACAGTGTAAAACGTAAATTTTAGTCATCCGCTCTCTTGTCAGAGCACGAGAAGCTTTGGAACAATCTCATATCTGTCTGCTGAAGATGAAGCGACAGCCAGCAGCTGGTTAGCTTAGCCTGGATTGGCAGCAGGATGACACATCCATGCCAGCTCTGTCTCACTGGTATCAAAATCCGACTGGCAGTTCCTTTAAGGCTTACAAATGTTTTAGTAAGTGCAAGAACTGAAGCAGAAAAGCCATTTTCACCAATAATGTTTGTGCATTTTGGGTGATGTTCCCCCCACCCTCGGTCCCACCCAGCTCCAGACCCCAGCGGTGACATCATGCGCTGGAAGTGTGGGTCCCTCCCTGTCGTGACCTCATGTCCCTGGTATTCTGAATATACACACACATGTCACTCCCTTTTCAACTCCCAGCAATCCTATTTTGTAGCATTTACTGAACCCGCCAGTGACAGATGTTCTTGACTGCAGTTTACTAACATGCTGTGAGGGAACGAGACCATCCTCGTGCAAAGACTGATCACAGGCTTTTTGTGCTAAACTTAAAAGCTTGAAGAAAGAAGAAAACTTTATTTTTAAGCTTGTGAAGATGTTTTCACCTCTAATCCAAGAGGCTTCAGTAAGAGTCCCAGGTATTTAACCCCTACTGGGGGTTGTTCCTGTGAGAGGTGGTCATTGACCTACTACTTCTCATGTCCTACGTCACATGAGTTAAGATGGAGAAAAAAGGTGGATTTAATGCCTAGTAGGGTTAAATTCACAAACTTAAAGATGACCAGTCGCCTTTTTTTCTCAAGTTTGTAAGACTACAATGACTTGGGTAACTAAGAACCTAATAAGACACACGTGATGCAACGTCACTTCTTCTCTGACATCTGTCCCCCCCCCCCCTTTTCCTCATCCCTCACCCTCTCTCCTCTCGGCCTCCCTGCGCTGGCTCTTCATGCTGATTTCGGCCCTGAGCGTGGTTATCTCCAGCTCGTACTCCTGGGTTTCTTCACTTAGGCGCTGGAGCTCGGCCCGCCGGCGACACAGCTCTTCCTGCAGTGAGGCGATGTCGTTCTCCCTCTCCGCCGCTGCCTCCTCAGCGGCCTGTTGGAGCAGGAGCACCTCCTCCTGAGCCGTGCGCAGCTCCTCCTGGGCCTCGGCCAGCTCGCTCTCCTTCTCCTCCTCCAGGCTGTACATCTCCTCCTGCACAGAGCGCAGCTGGGCTGTGGCAAGCGGGGGAAGAGGAAGAGGAGGAGGAGGAGAACGTTAGGTTTTCTTTATGGCAGATGTGTGGGTGAGACTGCAGTGTCAGTATGGGTGTATATGTATGATCTCACCTGAGGCTTTGCAGTAGTGGGCCTGTGTGTGTTTGTGTGTGTAGGTGGTTAGTGTGCACTTGCATACGCCTGTGTGTGTGTGTCTGTGCGGGTGCTGTTTGAAAGAGGAGCTGATGTAACTGATGGTAACTGGCATGCTTTTTATTCAGGGTCAGGTTGGGATTATTAGTTTAGTCATTTCAGGAATGGAGAGTTCTCTCCACCTCGCAACTTAAAAAAAAAAAATTTCCCTTCTGATTTTCTGTCTTTGAGAACAAAAAATCTGCATAAGTGGTAGCATGAAACAGAAGTCAAGCTAATAAATTAGCAGCTTAAAGATCAAAATCTGCAGAGACCTTAAGCACTGAGGGATGTAAAACTTTTGATTTTTTTAATCCAAGGGGAAAAAATGACACAAAATGTTATTTTAGAGATCTTTAGGCATATTGTGTTGATACCTTGCAGATTCTGGATCTGCCGTGTGAATGCCTCAGCCTGATGGGCACTTGCCAGACGCTCATCCTCCAACAGACCTGAAGAGGAGAGATGGGGAGTCAGGAGTGTGTAGTGAGATAAGAGGGAAAAAGTGCAGCAGGCCAAAAGAAGAAAGATGACAACTTGATAAGCTGTTCAACCTTGAGGCATGACTGGATGACACAAGCAGCTTTGTATGTCTGCTTCTGTTAAAAGCAATGAACAGTACGTGAGCAGACCGTCAATATTACTTAGCAGGATTTTTCTTTCTGGTATGCGAGTTCCTAATGATCCTTTTCATTGGAAAATTCTCTTCTAAACTTAACAGATAGCAGTAGAAAAATAACACAGAGTGTTTTGTCTGCCAGTTTCACAGCTTTTGGTTTGCTGCTATTTTTGAATTTCTGTTTATTTTTGGTCCCTATCAGTATGTCTCATGCCAAATGTTTTCTGCCACATACTTCAGGCAGATTCACTGATGGCTTTTATATAGCAGCAAGAGGAGCTAGAAGGATAGCGAGAGCGTATTCTTAAATCAAATCATATGTCCATTCAATTCAGTTTTATTTACATGGCACCAAACCACAACAACTGGCTCAAGGTGCTTTAAATTCTAAGGTCAAGGCCCTAAAATAATAGAGATAAAACTCCAAAAATCAGACGACCCCCTATGAGCAAGCACATGGTGACAGTGGGGATGAAAAACTCCCTTTTAACAGGAAGAAACCTCCTTTATGTTAATTGGGTTAATTACCCATGGGGTAATGTAAGCTGAATGGTGAGATGTCTCTATGTGTTAGTCCTGCGACAAACTGGCGATCTGTCCAGGGTGTACCCGGCCTCTCGCCCTATGGTAGCTGGGATAGGCTCCATCCAATCCACAATAAAGATAATGGAAGATAATGGATCGATGGCTAAATTATAAACACTTAGAGTGAATTAAGATACTTGTAAAAAAACATGCACACACACAAAGTGCTTTCACAAGTACAATTTAATTGTAAAAAAAGGGTTTTTTTTAATCAGTATTTGGTGCACCTTTCATTAGTACAACTTCTTCTATACATTTTTGGAAACAAGTGGGTTGCTCCAAGTGTTTTGGAAAAGTTGCCACATTCCTTAATTGCTTGTGTCTCTTTGTGTAATCCCAGGGTGACTCCATGTTGCTAAGATCAGGGTCTCTGTGGGGGCTGTACCATCTGCTGGAGGACGCCTTAGCCTTCTTGTGGCTTGTGTACTTAATGGCAGTGAGTTATCTACAGATCAAATTTCAGATCAAATGCCTTCTTCGTTGTGTTGTGTCCTGCATAAGAACCTAAACATGTAAAGTGCCTGTTATGCCCACTGACTTCAGGCTGCTGCTTGGAAGAGTGTTTCAGGTCTATCTGCGGCACCCCTCCAGGCGCCTGATCACCAACACCTGCGGTCTGTAATATGAAGCAAGACCAACAGACCCGGGGTATATTTTCATACCCCAACGTTTGGGTTCCTGCTATGCAGTCACGCAAAAGGTGGCTATCAACCCTGAGTTTTCCAATCTATTCACATAAAAAGGCATTGGCAGAAGGTGACCAGTCTGCTGGCAGCACGCAGGAATATTTTACAAAATAAGAGCAAACTATAAAATTAGAAAACTCATCATACACGCCAAATGCACAGTTGCTGCAGCCAAAGGAGAGGTGTGTGAGTGTGTGTGATAGGAAAAGTGCTGTACTAGCATGTGTATGCGCTTTAAGTGATTTGGTGGTCAGCAAGACTGGAAAAGCGTGAGACGGCCTGAATAAAATCTATTTAAAGCCGGGAGGAAAGTTGGAAAAAATGTGCACGGGAAGATCTGACTAAAAATACGTCTGAATTCACTCGCTGCCTAAATGTGAGTAGCTGCTTCTTTTCTGTATAAGCCAGTTTTAGCCTTACTATTTAAGCAGCAACCCGGTTGCATTAAATGGTGTGAGAGTAAATATAAACACATAATTCAACCTGGTAAGGCTTGCTTGCAAATTTTATATAAGGTCAACGAGTACAAGTTTGAAAATAGGGTAGGTAGGTATAGCGTAAGTTGCCTGGCAATATACTTCATTATGAATGATCCTTGTAATACAGAAAACTCAGTTAAACCCTGAAATTCTTTACTGACTCTTATTCCTGCTTGATAGTGCTGGTCTCTGAAGTCCATGTGATTATCACTGGGGCTGGATAACTCTCATGTCTCAAATGTCTCAAAATCTCATTTGGAGATTTTGAGACATTGTCTGTCTGTTTTTTGATCACCTGCTGCTTCACTGTTTCGCTTTCCTTATGTCCTGTTCAGTGACTGAAAGAAGTCTTTGATTCAATTTAGCTTTAACAATATAACATGTTTTGTGTTTAAACAGGGAGCTTAGCATTGTGACATTTTGTTCGGTTAAACTATCATACCAAATGGAAAAGACTGTGATAAGCCAACTTTAAGCTTGAAATGAGGAGCAAGCCAGTCACTGGCTAAAGCTAAGATAAGGGCTGGCCTCTTCTTAGAGGGTTGGGGTCACTTAGGTCTCATCTATCTGCACTGGGCCTCTCTCAGCAGAGGGTGACTTCTTAAAAAAGACAGATAACCGCTGACTACACAGGAAGCCCTCCATAACAGGCCATTGTGCCATTTCACCAAACTCACCAGTCGCTTCCCAGAATGTTCTCACCAAGCTCATGAAATTCATAAACAATCTACTTGCTGAACATCAGCTGTTCAGTATCACCTCACAGTGCCACTTGCATGGATGTAGAATCTCACTTTTTTATTTTCATAATGTTTAAGCTACAGTTAGTAGATTGTTATCAATATTATTTATAACTTTTTCCATTTTAAATTTGGTTTTTAACGCCCTCAGATTAATCCATTCATCAAGCTACATCATTACTGGTGTGGGCGTAGAAACCCGAAACCGAGACAACCGCATCTGCATGCATCAGCTGCCAACGCACCGAACAGCTGACTGTTCCCAGAGGGTCTCGACCAATACTGAATTCTGGTTGAGGTCTAGGACACTCCGTCTAGAAACTTCCCGCAGTGTGAGCGCAGTTGTCTGAGGAATGGTTCCTCCCGCTGCCAGACAAACTGCTGAGCTCACCATGCTATGTCTCTAAGAATAACACACTGTTAAATGCACACACTCATAAACGCACACACACTGAGCTCAGTGTAACCTCATACCCAAGGCCTTAGTCACTGCTAGTGTCTCTGAGCATTATGCTCATCATTTCTAAGGTATGAGCTTATGCTCTTCTTAATGACTATGAGCAACAGACTGTCTGTAACCACATATAAACAGTTCGCCTTCTATATATGTATCTAACAAAATTTCACAAGGATGCCTCAGGTACAAAGTTAAGAGAGGGTTTTTTCTACTGATCAGTGTAGAAATAGGGGAAAAAATAGTGCAAACATTTATGTAAAAGTACTCTGAAGAAAATTCAGGCTGAGATTGTAACAGGAATTTTATAATCATGTGTCTTACAGCACAAATGGAGTTTTTTTCACAGCGAGGGAAAGGCCAAAAACAAGGTTAGTTAAAAATGTTAGGTAGCGTTTTTAGCTCACAGAAAATTTAGCCGCAATTAAATGAAAGGTTTTTTTTTCTTTTTCAACTTTGCTTGTTGGTCTTAGCTATTTCCATTATTTTTCTTTTCCACTCACTGAATATGCATGTGTTGGAAATGTAACGAATGAAAGCCCAGGGTTATTGCTTTTGTAAATGCGATTTAGGAGCGGCGCTGGCAAACAATTTGCAGATTTGAAAAATGATGGTTAATTGCAAAATGTAGATTCATTTCTAAGCAAAGCGCTTGGTGTAGCATTGCTTTTTGCAAAGCTGTCCCAGAATTAAAAGAAGGAAAAATTATTTTATGAAGAGAAATCGGCGAAAGAGGCCCAGCTATTTGTGTTTTATTACCTACGTGTGTTCAAATGTGACGTGCTTTTTATTCAGCTTTTGTTACCGATTCCAGTTGTGACTGAACATGACAGATAGAAATGTTAGAACGGGGACTATCATGGCAGTCAGCATATTCTATAAATGCCAGAAAAAATGTTACAGAATTAATGCATGTTGATGGATGATTAGTGCATTTGCATTGATTTTTATGGGAGATGCTTTAATGTTAATGTTAATAAATTAATAGTTAAAGGTATTAAATAATGAACATACATATTACAGTTAAGGGATACAGTCCTAGAGGTATTCAAGGCTAGAGTTCTCACCTTGCAGCTCGTGGAAGCTCTCCTGATGTTTGTTGGAGGTCTCTCTGGCCTCCTCCAGCTCCAGCAGCAGCTGCAGCACCTGCGCCCTGAGCTCCTCCAGCTCCTGCTCCTCAGTCAGCGACTCTTGCTCCTTCTTCCTCTTCTCCTCCCCTTCACCTTCCTCCTCTTTCAGTTTCTTTTCTTCCCCCTCTTCCTCCTGAGATCTCTCCTGGTCCATCTCCTCTTTCTCGTTGTTCTCCTCCAGGACTCCTCGCTCCTTGGCGGTTATCTCGTTGTCCATATTGGGGCTGCTCTCGGCTTTCAGATCACAGGGGTCATCTGGTAGAGAGATGGCAGACATTACGAGAAGGAAAAGGGATGGAGAGCCTTACAGGTGACAAACCCATCTGTCATCGCCTAAAAACTCAGTCACGCTTGGCTGCAGAGCAAATGGTCTCTTCTCCCCCGAATCAACAGCACCATCTTGTGATTAAAGTGGCACCGACTTCTTTGTACATCACATCCTGTTCACTCTGATTTAAGCGTAGCTGTTCAATCCCACAATATAACTGAAAATCCTCTTTTGTGATTAACTCTAAGACGCAATCCTTTTTCTTGAGCGATTCCACTGATTAAAGGAAGAAAATCACACGTGCCTTAAAAGGTCAGAATTTTGTAATAAGCAGATGTTAATGTAGCAGCATTCACACGCAACATATTTCTCTTTATTCACCGCATTTCAAGCTTCGTTGTGTTTATGGCACACGCATCCTTGTATCCGCACTGTGGATTTAAATGTTTGGCCAGCAGGTGGAGCAGGTTAGCTGACACAATGCGGAAACAGAAGTGGGGAGGTGAAGCAATCGCTATGACTCACCACTCAGCAATGCACCTCAAAGTCCACAACAACAGAGCTACCACTCATAGTAAAAGAGATGTGACACACAGCTCTTTCACGTGCTCTTGTGTCACATTTTTGCCTTCTTCTTAAAAGATTTCGCTCAGTAATAAGCTCAGGCCCAATCAGAAGCTCTAAAACCAAAAATGAGACATTATATATGAGGCAGACCAATAAGAGTGAACTTGATTTTGCATTACAGCTCTTTGTCTCGCTGCAGCTACTGAGACAAAGTCAGAGCAGTTCAGAAGAGAAGGCATCCCCGGCAGTTCTTCTTGCATTACACACACACGCAAACACACACTGACCTAATATCCTTTCACTCTCACTTCTCAACAGCATGCCCTCCTGGGTCAAGTCCTTCTCAGAAATAAATCAATATGTAGTACTGCGCATTCATGTCTGAGTGGTCTCCAAGTGGCCAAAAATTGCTGTTTGTACTCAGAAAGCAATGTGAGGATGGGAGAGGGGGAATAGTGTTCACTGAGGGACAGAAGATGGAGAGACGTGATGAGAAAAAAGAAGAAGGCTGCAGCAGGGGACGGAATAAAGCATTAACTAAAGATCTACCCTAATTAAGAGCGATGCTCACCGGTGTAATCTCGGCTCTGGGGATGCTTCCGGTTCTTGTGCTAATTATTTTTTCTTTCTTTTTCTCTGCTCGCTAGATGTAACCGTGTACATCACAGCATATTTTATCATGCATCTGTGACAGCCTTATTCCTTCCTGTCTCATAATGATGTTAATTTAAACAATGCGGCCCCTGAGAGGCATGCGAGAGGTTTCATGAGCGCAGGGCTATTTTGTCATTAAACTTTGATGCTGGTGTAACGAGTTAGTCATAAAGAAAGAGAGAGACGGAGCTCTGTGGCGGGGAGTTTTAGCCGGAGCTGCTTGTATAGCCAGGGGCGGCTAAAGGCCATCAAGAGACAAAAGGCTTCCCACTGAATATCACTCACATCCAAATCTCTTACAGGATATGTTGAGCTCATGGTAGGCAACTCCAAAAGGCTTTGGATCAAGTGTTTTCTTTTGTAAATGTCTATTCTGTATAGACGGTCATTATTGTCCTCACTTTAAAAAAAACACTTTTTAGGTATATTTAGGAGAAAGAGTCTGGCTTTGCATGATGCATCGTGTGCAAACCCTTACCACCACCTTTCACCTTTCTACTCATCGTATCGCTCTTAAAAGAAGCTTAATCTTCTCACCTTGTGGGTGAATATCGAGCACATTATGCAGCCAAATCAGCTGCAGTGACACCTGTGCTCACTCCACTGTGCTTGATTTTTTCTTTTAGTCACGCTGGGATTGCATTAGACATGGACGCCGCGCGCATACAAGAGCAGGCGACGGACAGCGGTGTCATCTCAGGAGCAGTGCAACAGCTCCGGGGAGAGGACGCCTTTTATCTATGCACAACACATTCTTTCATAATCACACTGCAGCACAGCACTATGAGTATGTTGGTATACACACTGTGCCACTTTAGAAGAGAGGCAACAGGCAGAGCCAAGTAGTCTTTGTCAGCATCTCAAAAAGGCTGCCTGAGATTTAATTCAAACATTTAATGTGTCAACACCAGCCTTTTTGTTTTGCTTCTGATTTGGCATTCTGCGATGGAGCGTGGAGCATAATGAAAATTGCACTTTGCAAAATTGAAGAGCAGAGCGGGGATTTTTAGCCAGCAGAGGGGTGGGTGAGGGACGGGCAGCGAAATCTGAAGCTCAGCCTCGCAGTCTAATTAAGTAGACAGGAATTTACTGGAAAAAACATGCGCTCACCTTTTTTTTTTACAGTCTTTATCTTTAATGATACCGCTTCATGCAATCAGGTGTAATATAATAGGAAATGTGGAGCAAAGTGCTTTCGAGAGAATAGTCTCTCCCTATTGCTGCTAGTTAAATGAATTGACTGCTAGTTAGGTAGTTAGGAACATCTGGAGTCAAATCAGCCAATAAAAGAAACGACTGCTCGCTGAAAGGCGGCGCTGGAGGAGGCTGTCTACGGGTGTCGTGTCCTGGGTGTGTTGAGACTGAGCAAACAGGTGTGTGCTGCGGTGTCAGTGGTTCATTTGTGCATATGCCTCAAGAGTTTGCATTTGCATATGAATACACGCCAAGAGTGACCACTTCTCTTTGGTTTTGCATGTGTGTAAATACATAGAATATGAGCACGCATACATGTGTAGTGAGATCCCCACTTCTGATGAGTCTATATACACAACATACTGTATTTATGATCATATATGTCTGTGATCTGCTCTGTGTGTGTGTGTGTGTGTGTGTGTGTGTGTGTGTGTGTGTGTGTGTGTGTGTGTGTGTGTGTGTGTGACGGATGTACGTGTAGGAGGCCATGCATAATGCACAACACCCCCTCCTACCCCAGCTTTGAAATCAGCCCTGCTCTGATGTTGTAGCTTTTTCCCTGCACTGGCACACTTCCTCAGCAACACATAATACAGAGGAGGGAGGGGGAGCTGAAATAACAAGGAGCCACCGTAGGAGCATATGTGAAAGGGAGACGGGGAAAAAACAATTAGAGACACACAAGGAAGGAGAAAGATTTACGACGTTAACCCCACGCATCTCCACATCCACCATGCACCCTTGGTCAGCACACCAACAACCCAGAGCTTCAACATATAGAGAATCACCATGGTGATAAAGCTGTATTTTGGTCCACTGCTTTGCTTTCCATAGAAACCTTTCCTTTACCCCCCCAGAGAAGAGTCTGTGCAACTGTATCAGGTGCACTGTCACGAAGCCCACACGGTGAGGTCACCATCATATGAGATGCACTGCTTTCAAGCTGCGTGGAGACTCCAGATGAGCAGCAAGCGACAGAGGTGGAGGTCTTGTGAGGTTAAAGTGAGTTTATCTCTTTCCCTTGCTCTCTCTCTGTACTGCAAAGTCCAGGGAGAGTGAGGAACAACAGCAGCAGGAGAAGAAAAGAAAGTTGAAGCGACTTAATCAGCCGTTCTGTTATTTAAATGGAAAATTCGTATTTGCGCTTTCAAAGGGGAATAAGGGAAAGTGGGTCAATGGAATAGAAAAGCATCGCAGGATGTGCTATAATTTGGCCTCATTAGATGAGTACGCACAAAATCTGTGTCAGTGTGTGCATGCTGTAGGTGATTTATTCAGGGAATGTGTGTTTTTGGGGGGGGGGTTTTCAATACGAATCTGTGGTGGTGCAGTGTGTGCATAAGCTTGTTGCATAGCTATTCCATTAGGGGTTTGAATAGCATCAGAAGAAGAACGGAAAACAAGTCATGCAGTTATAACCCATTTCATCACAAATGAACCCTCCCCCCAAACCACCACCCCCAGCAAAGCAATCACTATGGAAAGCTTTTTTTTTTATCACTTAGGTCTTATTTTGAAAAATAGGGGATACCACAGCTCACTGTGTATCTGCCAAAATTCAAAAAAGATAAATCCAGAGCGCGAGGAAGGGTGCGCTAATGATAGGTTGACAATGCCAAGCATTTCTGCGAGGGAAACAAAAAGTTAAAGCCATGGGGGCGGGAGGGGGGCTGAAAGAAGGAGCTGCGGGAGTTCATGAACCTTCTCCATTCACTTGAAAGTTTTAAGAATTTTTCCATTATACAGCCGAGTAAGAGTAAAGCACACATGGCACACTCGGTTTAGCCAGGGACCTGCAGAGTGCCTTAAGAGCCCTTTTTCCCCCCTATTTTTTTAAATGAAGCACTTAAGTCTGGTGAGAGAGACCAGAGAAGTGGGTGGGGGGAACATGTGACAGTGAGAAACAGGGATCAGGGATGCTTGAGGACAGAAAAGCATGCGAGATTTGTTTTCGTTTGTTGTTCTTGGCTTTTTGGTTTTTTGGTTTTCTCAAAGGTCTAAGCAGCTCCCACATCTACAAAGTTTGTCCAAGGCAGCAACTTTGCTGTTTATTAGTTCCGGAGAGCTGAGAGAAATTCTGTTTGTGTATCTTTGGGGAGTATCACTGCTGATGTGAATTTTTGCAGCATGAGGGCACAACACTGGAGAGAAGATGAGGGAATGGAGGGAAAGAACAGGAGAGAAATGCTGCGTGGGCTGACGCGCTGGCAGGTGCAAAAGGTTTGTGTGTGTGTGTGTGTGTGTGTGTGTGTGTGTGTGTGTGTGTGTGTGTGTGTGTGTGTGTGTGTGTGTGTGTGTGTGTGTGTGTGTGTGTGTGTTGGAGGGTGCGTGGGTGCTGAAGAGAGCAAAGGATTCCATCTGAAAGAGGGGGACGAGATACTGAGTGGGAAAAGCTGAGAGAAGGATGGAGAGAGAAGTGTTCGGCAGCTCGTGCAAGTAGGAGGGAGGAACAATATGGTGGCCAGTGGCGGCATCGTATGCAGACACCTTGTAAATGTCAGATGTCCCTGTGATCTTGCTCGGCGGCAGCATGTGTTTGCACAGGAGCATCTGCAATCTCTGTTGGTAGATGTGGCAAGGCAGCGTAGAATTAATCCTCAGCAAAAGTGCAAAAACCAGAGAAATGCTGTTGATTTTTAATAAAATTGCTTTTTTGAAGAACCCAGACTTATGCTGAGAGTTAGGGCTGACCTCAGCCAGGGCACAATAAATGCACTTAAATCCCTTTAGATCCCCCAAAGGTACATAATTCAAAACTATATCACTTATCAACTCAGCTCAATCCACTTTCTAGGTCTTTTTATTCTCCAGAAGTCAGCCCTGACACCACCATAAGCTCAGTGTTGGCCGTCACGAGCACTTAATTCCCAGCTTTAAAAACATGCCTCAGGTTGTGATGAAAGGAAAAAAAATAAAAGAGTCCCTGGAGTTAAGAGGCTAGATAACAGGAACAAGCTTGTTAGGTAAGGAAGGATTTCTCCTGAGACAGCATCCGCGTTACGGCGATCAGGCTTCAGCACAACAAATGTAATAAACAAAACTGCTCACAAATGCAAGTGGTTCGATAAGTCTACGGGCATCTATGGTGAGCATATTAAAAGAAATGAGCCACCCAGTCCTTGCTCCTGAAAGTTCACTTTTAGGACATTAACAGAGGAAAAGGAAACCTGACTCTGAGCAAACTGCTGACCTGTGTATGTGTCTGTTTCTCCGAGCCCCTCCACACCAATAAACATCCTCCTTCCAGCGTACACACACACACACACACAGGGCCACTCTAGCTGCAAAACACATACTCCTTCCTCATTGAGAATCATGGAAAGAGAGAGAGAAATACCACACATTTTCTCTGCATAGTTGAACAGTACTAATTCTATCTGAGGCGAAAACATAAAATAAAGATGCATTGTGTTCGCTGTCATGCAGCAACTTTCAGTGGAATGAAGTTACCAAGCAAGCCTAAGTGCAGCTGCTCATCTGCTCCAAGCCACTATGTGCACTAAAACAACGTCTCATTCCTCCGCAGATGATAATCTGTGTAAAACATGAGAGAGATTCAATCTTTAACAAAAAATAACACCCAGCTCTGCATGACTCCAGATTCCATCAGTTCTCCATCGGGATAACATATGCAACAAATTCAACAGTGCTAAACGCTAGGCCTAAATTATTTCCTGCCTTTGGCTGCCAGCAAATCGTTACCTGGCAGCGTGTCGCCTCCATCAAACGTCCACAGATGCCGTATCTTACCGTGCTGTCCACTCACTCACTCACTCAGTCTGTCAGCTCGACTGCAGCTCTTTAGAAACACGCTCCCACAGTAAACACCTCGACACCAGACCACCCTTCTCCCGTTCCACATCCTGCCCACTTTACATCACTCACTTTTAGAGAGCATGCTCTTTCTTTGAAAAAAAGAAAAAGAAAAGAGAGAGAGAGATAAACATTAACCATCTACCTTTTCCCCGGCTGATCGCTGTCTATATAATCTGTAGTGAAAAAAAACACCGCCACACGGCTGTATCCAGCTACGCGGAGTCGCAGATGAACACACACTGACAACACAGCAGCACACAGACCTGTGGAGTCCAAAGCCTCCTCTATGAGTGGAGGTAAACGCAGTCCATCCATAGCCCCCCTGTCGCTGCTGCGAAGAGGGAGAGACGGAGGAAGAGTGGGCGAGAGAGGGTCAGAGGGTCCGCACGCCCACCTCAGCGGCCGCTGCTGCTGCGCGGAGAGGAGAGGAGGGAGACAAACACACGGAAAGTACTGATCGCGTGTCAAGTACTCGTACAGCACGCGCGCGCGCGCAGGCTTCGAATCTCACAAACTTGGCACACGCAAACACACGCGCGCATGCACACACAAACCGCCCGTACCTCGGGAGAGTTTGGGAAAGATCCCGGGAGCTGAAGGCTGGGCTCTGGAGCGTGGGAGAGATGCCGAGAGGGAAGAAGAGGGGAGGAGCGGAGCGCAGGGAAAGATGCTGTTTTCCAGATGGCAAGCTCCGTCTCCCTGCCCTCTCTCTCTCTCTGTCTTTCACATGCTCTCTCTCCCTTCAGGCTCTGTTTACTATGTTTGCACTCCTTTTTTTCTGCACCATCCTTCTCACCAATGCCTCCACTTGTGCCCCTTTTGCATTTGCTGACTTTTTACATTTGTTTACGGATTCACGATCATCGAGGCTGGGACGCAGATCTACGCACAGACGCGGACAACAATGATCACCAAGGCCCCCTTTTTTCAAAAGTCTTTTCACAGGTCCAAATGTGTGTGGTGATGCTTTAGACTAGCTTGCTAAATGTTAGCTTTAGTTGGAATCTTGGTGATTCATTTTTAGAAGCCCTAATAACAGGTAGTGTGAAAGGCATCACTGGCAATGCATTAAAAGTAGTTCAGACAATCACAGAACCAAGATATATGCAAATCCTACTTATAATAAAACACCGACCCGTGCTTCCCTTTTTTGTGCACACATTTACACTCACATACACTCTCTCTGTCTCTCTCAATTACTTGAGCATATTTTGGCCGTGGCCCCAAAGCCAAATGAATTTACCTATAATGAGATCCAGAATCCAGACAGGCTGTTGCAGTGGAGGCTGACAGCTAGCGTCGCAGATTACTGATCATTTCCCCTCCATTGTTCATTTCCTCCCCTCCCCTTGCTGACTCTCTCTCTCTAGCTCGCTGCTAATGAACAGTGTCACTTATGCTATAAATATATACATCATGTCAACCATAACACCACTCGCTCAATTTTCATCACAACTTTCACACACACAGCTTTTTTTGTCTCTCCGTCTGTCTTTCAGCCCCCCACCACCACCCATACACACAGTTTCTCTCTCTCACACACACACACACACACTTTCTCACACTCAGTTTCAGCTGCCATCACATCTGGCAACTTCTGTGCAGTAAGGAGCCAGAGATTTGAGGTGTGGCGTGAAAGCCTGAAAATATGTCAGCAGACAGAGAGAGAGAGAAAAAGAAGAGGAAAGGAATGGGGGGCCAGGCTTAACCGTTCCCTGGCCCAGGAGGGGGATATTTCTAACACTGCACTGTCAGGAACCAGGAAGTGCTTTGCAGACAGAAGATGCACACACAACGTTTGACACATGCACTCTCATGTGCAATCTGGCAGCATCTGAAAGAGGAAATGTGTTTAAAAAAGGCACAAAAAACTGTAGCGGAACGGAAATAGAAGGAAGCAGAAAACCCGTGTCTGAGTAGCAGCATGTTCCTGTTGTTTGTATCTGTAATGAACAGCAAGTGATTTCTGAGAGGTCGACAACACAAAACAAGGGATAGGAAGAAAAAAAACAAAAACTGGAAAAGACCGATGTCTCCTTGTAAGCACTTCCTTTACTTCCTTGTGCAGCTTTTCTCGGGCAGCCTTAATCCTCAGACAAGGAGCCTGAGCAGGGAGACATCTTTCAGCTCTTAAGTCATCCCACAGTCTCCTCACCACACACAATAACACCCCCCACACAGACACACACACATACACAGGAAGGGAGAGCTGTGGAAAGCGCAGGCTGACAACACATGACAGGGTGTTGATAATGAGCTGACAATGTCTGGCTTCAATCCACGAATGTCACTCTAGTGTGGCAGAAGCAGCCGGGCTGCAAAGTAGAAGTGCCAAAGAGGAAATGCAGATACTGTCAAACCTTGGTCAAAATATTTTTAGTAGAAAGTTGAACCAGATCGATGTCATGTACCTGCCTCACCACAGGCCCCACAGACTCAGCCATGAAGCTGCAGTGAGGATAGCGCTGACTGCTGCACTGTTAGAGGCTTAAAAATCACTCAGAAATGTTGTTTGGTGGGAAATCGCGAGCATTTTATTGCAGCAAATGTCTCTACGAGTGCCTGTTGATCAAGATCTGGTCGTCCTGCAGTGAAACTGTTAGAGATGAGTTGTTTGTTCTGCTGCAGAGAGCAGTCCCACAGAGTGTGAGGTCACATGAAGGGAATCTGTCCAATCTGCTCAGACTGTGGTCTTTGTCTTGTCCAGATTCAACAAGTTACTGTGCCCACAGCCACAGTGCAGACGTCAGGAATGCGAGCCTATATTTGGCATGAAGCAAAAGAACAGATACGCACAAACATGCACACACACACACGTCCAGAAGCCCCTTATTTCTTACTATTCCTCATATGCGGCATCACATTAAGCATCTTGCATTAGTGTAGCGACTGAATACGAGCGTTGACAAAGGATTTACATAAAAACGTGCATAACAACATGAAGAATTCATGCAATGACTGAGAGTATGTCTCACTACCAACTCATTTGATTTGCTGCAAAATTTCCATAAACATACGTACACAGCTGTGGTCCCCAGAGAAAAAAATCCTACTGTTTTCAGCTATTAACATTTGTGATTTGTAATGACGTGCGTCTGTAACCTTTGTACCCCCCCTCCACACAACCGTGAGGCTGTAGCATAAAAGAGGTCCTTAACTGGTGGACATTCCTTAATAGATTACGCACTAAGTACTGCCCTGTTTAACAGTCACTAATTTTATTTGTCAGCTGGGTGCTGCAAAATACAGAGAGGTGATTAGTGGTGAAGCTAGAAAATAAAGACAAACCACATGTTATTGAAAATCTGCTAATGCTTCCATTGGATGCTTCTGTACCTTTAAAACCAGCTTTAGAGGTGGCCTGGTAAATAACATTAAACTCTGGGCAGATCTGGGGCATGTAGATGTTTTTCACCAGCGCTGTAAGCTGAAACACTGTGTACCGCAATGCACCGAGCACTAGAGGACTACACTGTAAAATTTAATGAGCTGGCTTTACTTTAAAAAAAGGAAAATGCAAAATTGATGACTCAAAGAAAAAGTAACCTCAACTTAAGAGGAGTAAGTTATACTTACTTAACAGGGTACCAAGGATAGTATAGAGCCACAATTTGAAGTTAAAACTGTATTTTAAAAAGTCTATAGAGTTGTATTTTTTATAACTTTAGTGAATATTTTGGCAATAAATTCAGAAAATGTCACTATAAATGGTTATTATATTTATTAGTCAAGTCAAGAGTACTCGTGCACAATATTTACATTAAGTGTTATAAGATGTGGATCCAATTCCGTGTTACACGCATAAGCCTCATACGCTACACAGTCATAGGATTGCTGATTTTATTAGTATGCATAAGAGCCTTTCACTCCATCCAGTGCATCACTCCAGAAATCTCAGACATGGTGGTCCGTTGCCAGCGAAGCCTTTACACTGTTCTTGCCCACACAAACGCTTGGCACCACATCACACATCTGGTGAAATAATCATCACAATGTCAACAATAACAGTCTGATGAGTCTAGACTTGCAGAAGTATTAAAAACAAATCAAGCACACATTATAAAATTAATTACGTATGCACAAATACTCCTCAGCATTTGGGCAAGAAGTGCAAATAAGAAATTTCAGTTAAAATTCACTCATTTATTTAAAGTAAAGACATTGTTTGGAGTTACAGGGTGGGAGTCAAAATGGGTCCAAAGCACATTTTTAACAGCAGTTAAATCACAAACCAAAATAAACCTAACACAGACGCAGCTGCGCCGAGAAGAGCTATCACAAGTGTCATGCCGACCTTAAAAGGAACTTTGCAAGCATTGATGGCAAATTAAAAACACACTATCAAAAAAACACTTTTTTGTTGTTTTCACAGATCTAGCAACTGCCCAACAGCTTGTTAAATTTCTCAAAAATGATCATAATGACCAACTGCTGGTCCTGTGGCACTGGTCAACCAGCAGAAACCTCACTACAGCCATTGAGCTGGCATAAATTGCTTGCGGATACACCAGAGGGATCAACAGGACGTATAATTACTCTGCAGTGACAGTGTATCATTGTCATTGTCTGCAGGCCGTGTAATGGAACCTCAGAGCCATAAAAGACAGTGATTCACCCCCACAATCGACTTTACACCACTGGGCTGCCAGCCTTTAACTCCAAGCATCACTGTGGCGCTCTATGGTTGCTTAGCAACTAAAGGAAATTGGAGGTGCCTTTGAATTAGGGCATTTTAAGAGGAGATTTATATGAAGACCTTGATGATAAATGCCTCCATAAATCTGGAACTTTCTATTTCTATGAATTAATCGCTGGAGGTTCTAATTCTGGTTTTAGACACTGCAGCGTCACGGGGGCTGCAGATCTCACGCTGGCTCTATTATGAGACTGTGGCTCGTTTCCAGATGCAGGCTACATTTTCATGTTATAGTGCAAAAGCAGAGGAAGGGAACATGGCCTGTTTCCATGACACCATAAACAGGAAATAGGAAGGGCCCAGTGCTGCCAGAGCAGTCTACGTAAATCACCGAAGAAGTTAGCAGAGAGGTCAGAACTTTCCCATAATTTCAGTCAATGCACGAACGACACCAGAGGATTTCTGAAGAGTAGCGCCTCCACCCTTGGCTTCAAATGGAGGTCCGATGGGCCTGTAGCCCAAAAAGTGTTGCATTTGGGGATTTTTGTTTTCAGCATTTATTTTCAATGAAATGAGCTGGAGCATGGGATTTCTAGCTCTAGCCACCTGATAGTGGTTTACATATGCTCCCAACTTTAGGTGTAGTTTGGAAATGAGTGCAATCAAGAAAGTATGTTCCATCCTAAATCCCTGACAGACCAATCACCACAGACATACATTTGATGGGTGCTCTTTTTATGTGTAAAACAGGCTATACTAAGGACCCTTAAAATAATGTTTTTCTTTTGATTTGAACCAGATTTACACAATCACTTAAGCCTTCAGCTCTCTTCACTCAAATTAATTGAGGCCTACGTCGGCAATGCCCTCTATAAACTCCAGCCTATGTTTTTATTTATGGGATTATTTGGAAGTGAACGG